CTAATAGTGCCACTCCCTATGAGCTTATGGGGGCCAATTACATTCAAATCACCACAACATGGCTTAGTCAATGTGTTTTAGAACAAACACGGAGCTGTCTGCTAAGATGCTTGGAGCTGGGGATGAAGAAGGTATCAGTGATGGAGACAGGGAGGTCAGCGAGAGGAATTTAAGTAGCTCAAATATGGAATCTGGGAGGTGAGGGAGTCAGGTTGGGAGTGTTACAGGAAGGAAGTTGGATAGCTGAGAAAGGAAGGAGCCTTCTAGAAGGACTTAAAGGGTAAAGCAGGGCGCCGTAACTCGCGGGGCAGGGAGGGGTAGTGAGAAGAAGTTCAAGAGGAGAGAGCAGAAGAGAAAGAGCCGAGTGGGCCTGGAGAGGGAACAAGCAGGGAGAGCAAGAGGGAGAGAGAGGCAGAGGCCAAGGAGTGGCCTTATTCTTTCTAAGCCAGACAGGCAAGCCAGCGAATCACTAAATTTTTAGAAATGCTCTGAGCTCCCAAAATAAATAAATAAATAAATAAATAATAAAAACCCTCAAAATTTTGATCTCAGGACGTTAAAATCTAAAAAAATTATTTAGAAAAATACTTAGGGATATTTGACGATGTGAGTTATAGGTATTAATAGTTGTCATACTATGTACAACAAGAGTTATTAGTATATTTATGAATGGTTTAAAATCAATAATATAGTAAGTCCATTCATGTTAACATAAATATCTTTTCATAAAATGACTATATTTCTAAAAGTATTGTGCTAAGTGTCATTATTATATTTGTTTGCACAGTTTTGTTTCATAGAAGACAAACGGGTCCCGACATCTGCTTCAGCATTCAATGTGACGATATGTTGCATTGATCAAAGTATTTGGAATGAAATTTGGTCTTGGATATGTAAAGTAGGCAGTATATTAATCACTTTTTCAGATAATTACAGACATTCTTCTCAGACAGTACCTCAAAATTTCTTTCCCTCCCCCCACTCCACCCCATCCCCCTCTCCAGTATATGCACCTAAATATGCGGACAGTAGTTAGGGTTGATCCCAGGGTCTTGAAACTGTTAGCCAAACGCTCCACTACTGAGTGGAGCTACATCCACAGCCAGCAAATTACCTTTGCTTTAAGTCTAGCAGTGAGGTGAAATATGAAGCCGTGTCTGTAAAGTATTTGGACTCTCTTGATTCACAAGGCTTGCTCTACCCTGCATCTTGAGAGGATGATGCACCCATGCGTGATTTGTAGCACTATGCATCAGGTCACCTGGAAATGGAAGCTAGCTGAGCTGCGCAGCCCTTGTCCATGCACAGTAGGAAACCCCACTGCACATGCTGGTGAATGAGGAGACTTAGATCATGCTGGCTTCCCAGACACCATGGGAAGGTCTTGGGAAATCTAAGGGTGCCATGTGATACTTTGGGGGGTCACTGTTGTGGTGCAGTGGGATGTGTTCCAAGCTAGGAACCAGGCATCCTGGGGACCAGCCCCTACGAGGCTTTTCATTAGCTTGGTCATAAGCCTGGATGTCTCTGGGCCTTTCCAGCCGAGGGTTTCTCTGTGTAGCTCCAGCTGTCCTGGAACTAGCTCTGTAGATCAGGCTGGCCTTGAATTTACAGAGATCTACCTGCCTCTGCCTCCTGAGTGCTGGGATTAAAGGCATGCGCCACTACCCCCTGGCCTCTTTCTTTCTTTCTTTTTTATGATTTAATTTTATTTTATGTGCATTGGTGTTTTGCCTGTCTGTGTCTGTGTGAGGGTGTCAGATCCCTGGAACTGGAATTACAGGCAGTCGTGAGCTGCTATGTGGGTGCTAGGAATCGAACCCAGGTCCTCTGGAAGAGCAGTCAGTGCTCTTAACTGCTGGACTCTTTCTTAACATTTCCTCATGATTTCCCTGACTGCACCTTTCACTGCTTCCTCTAAGAGAGGCTCTTCTTCATCCCACTCGTCAGTTGCCACCTATGAGAAACACTTCCAAGAGGCCTAGGCACTGTCCACCTCTTTTACAACGTATCCCCTACGTCCTCCCAGTGAAATGAATCTTTTCTCCCTCGGCCCTCCAATGCCTTTGTTGTGGGAATCTTATTCACCTTGCCCTGAGTTCAAATGACCAGAGTGATTGCTTGGTACCAACAGGTCCACCCCACTGCCCTCTACTAACTGACCCACGAGACACCAGAAAGCAAACTCCTGATCCCGTTCGTGTTTGTGCCTCCTCCGCCTGACACAGAGTGGGGACCCTGTGAAAGTGGAATTAATTGGCTAGTGTGTTTCAGGAGGATCTATCTGTAAGACTGAATGGATATTTATGGGAGAAGGGGCTGTGCAGAGGTGACTGGGAGGTGAAAGGAGAAGAGGCGGTGATAGAAGTAAGAAGAAGACTGATGGGAGAAGGAGGGAGAGGTCAGGGTATGCACCTATGGGCCACAGACTGAGATAAAGAGATGGGGTGTGATGGAGCACGGTAAGATGATGAGAAGGGCATTTTTGTGGTGGATATAAAGGATGGGGAGGAGTAAGAAATTAACAGATAGCTGGGGAGAAAAATCTCAAGATACTGATGGGTGGAGGGGCTGAGCCTGAGGGGCATGGAAATGGTTATTTACACTAACAAGAAGTGTGAATGTGGTGATGTGACTCGGGTGACTAGTCCCAGTATAGCTGTGTTTCTGAATTTCAGCCATTCCCAGCCAAAGATGCTGTGGTCACTCTTGCTGGGTGCTTTTCCAAGAATCTCCTTCCCAGGAACCTAGAAACCCTTGTCATCTCCCACGCATCTGATGAGGAGTGAGCCCACATGAGGCCCAAATGGAAAAGATCAAGTCACTCTGAGCCTCAGCTTCTTCCTCTTCAAATATTTGCGGAGAGGGAGAGTGGCATGAGCCTGGGGAATGCGGTGCTTATTGCTCACACTACATTAAAATTCAGATTGGCTGGCGCAATATCCCCAGCATAACCACTCTGCACTGATATTTTTATAACTCTTAATATCAAACAAATTGCCTCTTCACTGAGACAGTTTAATGTGACGGGGGCCATGCCCGCCAGCTTCCTCATGCTGGCCCCATAAAGATCACCGTTCTGTTACTGGGGACAGAGGAGCCATGAATTTCCTATCAAAAATATGACTAGATTATGCAGAGTAAATCTTGGACCACATTAAAAAGATCATGGTGTTTTAATTCCCCCCCCCCCACTCCTGTCACCCTGACGCCTACTATCACATCTTCTCTTATTAATAAAATGAGGTAGGGGGTCTCCAGGCTGAATCAGCTGTGGAGGGCGCTCTCTCTCTCTAGCATAAGTCTCTATGTTTTCTGCAGTTATATGTCTTCCCTCAGTAATCAATTGGTGATTTCAGCTTTACCCCACCTAAGAGAGGCCCCACCTTTCTCTTCTCTTGGTGTGGAAAAGATTTGGGATGATGCAACTAGGAAATCCCTACCATACTGTTCATTTTAGGGCCAAGAGAGTATTTTCTTGTTTGGGCTTGTTTTAGAAGCTTCAAGGGCAGCTGATCAGTAGGGAGAAGCACAGTTGAAAGCTGTAGCCTTCTTCCAAAGCTCATTCCATCAAAGAGCCCATTGTTACCCAGCCATGAATGCCTTCATGATGAGAAAAATCCGGACTGACTGATTATTAAACCATTGCATCTTTCTTTCATTAATGAGTCAAAGACCTAGGAAAAAGTCCATCAGAGCAACCCACTTGAGACAGTAAGGATGCTAACTCGAAGTATTATAAGTCAGCCTAAAGCAAAAACACTTGACATTTTACCGGCTTGAGGTACTTTATTGTAACCAGTCATTTCCAGATATTTCCAGCCCTACTCCTTGTTCTTATCATCCCCAACTCGCCGTCACCATTCTGCCAGGGAGCTGCTCAGTCGCCCAACATTGACGTTCAAAGCAAGTGACGGAAAGCATTCTGAAAGATCCCAAGAAATTGATTGGCTGTCTCGGGAAGGAACTCAGTCCTACGTATGTGTATTTTATTTTGCTTCCAATAAAAGTGTTGATGGCAGCACACAAAAAAAGAACCCATGGAAAAGTTCACGCTAGTTCCCAGGATTCCTGAGACCCAGGAGTTCCAGACATAGGAAAAATGGGTCATAGTCACAAATCCTTGTTCTCCAAGGAAGAGATGTGAACTTGTATGTCAAAGTACTAGCCCTCTGTCCAGGGTCACGCACATTTTCCAGTTTTATTTCAATATGTTTCCATCTCAGCCCTCCCCTTTCCTCTATAATATATGTTACCAGCATTTTGTTTCCGTGCTGGAGTCCTAGGTTGACATCACCATTTTCAACTCTTACATTTTAATACACAATTAATATCCTATATAAAAAACACCAACAGAGATCATTGCAACCTTATTATAATTTTCTATATTTACTTGTCAGTATCTTATATAAATTCAGAATCATCCTTTTCTTTAAATCTCTTTTCGATACTCGCAGCAACCGAAGCCTTCCCCACTTCCTTGCTTCCAGAACATTCTCAGGCTGATCCAGCCTGAGAACTCCAACTAGGCCCAGGAGACTGTTAACTACTATATTAATATGTATCACATCTTGTCCTTAGGAAACCTAGGAGGAGCAGATAGTGATAAAAATAAGATAATTAGACAAATGGTGCATCAACACCTTTAGAACAGCAAAAACCATAGAAGTAATGGGAATAAAAGTGGCCCTTATTAAAATTATCATATACAGAACATATGAAGAAGTAAAACACAAGATTCACTCAAAGTTATGTTTTAGGGTCCATTGAGGGGCCTCAGCAGGTGAAGGCCTGACCACCCGAGTTCCACCTGGGACAGATGGTAGAAGAGGAAAATCAACTCCTGTACACTGGCCTCTGGAGCACACATATGTCCATACACATAAACGCATGCAAAGTAAAATAAATAAATGTAATAAAATTCTGTTTTAGGAGGAATATGAAATAGAGCAAAAAGGTATTTGTAAAGTAGTGTTGAGTAGCTAAAAGCAGATCACAAATGTTTACAACATACTAGTTTTAATACAAATTTCAAATTCAGAAAAAGATCAAACTATCAATAGTAGAAATAACAGGTGGCTTTTAGGTTCTTTTCCCCGCTTCGTGCTGGAGATCGAAAGAGGGCTGTTTCTGTGCTGACAGATGCTCTACCACCGAGCTGTGCCTCCAGCCGCTTTCTTTTCCTCCGTATGCTTCCCTCACCTGCCTTGAAAGTACAAACTTTTAAAATTTAGAGGAAAGAAAAGGACCTTGAAAACCTGATTCTGTTGCACATTCCACTGGAGCTGAAAACAGCCCTGAGCTTCCAAGACACTCTCTCCTGTTCCTGCACTCAGTTCACAGGTCATATTTAACACCTAAGGTGAGCTAGCCCACCGGCACTGCAGGGAATCCACATAGAGCCACACCAGCTCTGCTCCCCGATAAAACAGCGTAGTTAAACCCCTCACTTTGAAGAAAGGCTTCAGAGCTCACCTCTGCCCAGAGCCTCCAAAGCTTCTACACTCTGGAGTCTGAGGCTGAAGACAGCATAGCCTCCTGGCCCCGGGGGTGGTGACTATAACCAGGACTTGAACTGTATTCCAAATGGGACTGGGTGTGGGTAAATTCTCTTGTGCCTCAGTGGCTTGGGGATGTCCCCCATATCTACCACCACCCCAGCCTAGCTCTCTGTCCCTTCTCCTCTGTCAGGTTTCTTCCAAGCCACCCAAGAGCTGTTGCCCCACCGAGGTCCCCAGTCTGCTGCTTGCACCTTAGTAGAGGTCTCAGACCTTGTCGGCGCCACATCCTGGGAACAGAACCGCTCCTGCCCTGGGGCTGGAAGTTCTTCTCCTGGGGGAGGGAGTTCCCTGGAGACTGAGGCGGGTGGGGGAGGCCCCAGTAGGGGGCACGCGGATGCCTTTTTGGGAGGCAACCACGTACCATCGGCTCTCACTCGCTGCCAGCCAGGGTTTTCTTCCCCCAGTGAGTCTCTTAATTTTGCTCATTTATCTTAAAGAGCTCCGTAAGCGCCGTGGGGCTCCGGCGGGGGCGCCACACGGGGGCTCCGACACCCGACCCCCACGCCTGCCTCCCAGAGGAACCATCCAGCGCGGACCAAATCTCATTTTCCTACAAATAGTTTGTCAGAAGCAGCAGGGCAAGTAATAAATCACAGAGAGCGAGAGAGCGGAGAAGGAAGGGGGAGAGGCTGGGAGGGGAGGGCGGGGCGAGGGCGGAGGGAGGGCTGGGGGCGCAGAGGGGGAGAGCAGACCCGGGAGTGGGGGGTGCGGAGGGAGAGGGAGAAGGAAGAAGAAAGGAGGGGGCAGACAAAGAGACCGGAAAGAGGGAAGAGAAGAAAGAAGGAACCTGGGAGTTCAGAACGCTGGGGAGAGGGAGGGAGGGAAAGGAAAGGACTGAGAGTTGAGGGAGAAAGAGCAAGGAATGAATCAGGAAGCAGAAGGGGGGGGGGTGTGAAAAGAGGGAAGAAAATGAATCTCAAGAGGACGTGGGAAGGAGAAAAAAGCCATCTGGTGAAGAAGTGAACCCCAGAGAGGATGGTGGGCAACGCATCGCCTCTGCTTTTCCCCACCTCCCTCACCCTGAGCTATTGTGGACTCCTGCCCCTCGGCTCAGTCTGTAGACTAATTGGTGCTGTGTGTGTGTGTGTGTGTGTGTGTGTGTGTGTGTGTGTGTGTGTGTGTGTGTGTGTGACAGAAGCAGGGAGATCTTGTATCCGGGTTACTGAGATGGAACAAGCCAAAGCCACTCCATTCTTCCAAGCCTCAGTTTCTTGATCTAGCAAATGGGAGTAATAATCTCCATTTGCATATTTGGGAACATTACCTCTGCCCTGGAAAGCAGGGCCCTGAACAAGCTGGTGATCAGGATAAGGGGAGCCTTCCTTGCACTGACTGGTAAGGGTGAACTTGGTCCCAGAACTCTGGGCACAGACGCTGGATCTTCTAAGTCATGCTGCCTTTCTCCCACTACAGCCTGTGATCCTGAGCCAGACACTGGGATCTAGCAGCTGTCAACAAAAGCACCCTCCCGTGCTTTAACCTCACTCAGGAACCGGGGTGGGGGGTGGAGGGGACCAAGGGGGGTGGAGAGGCGACACACGACACAATACCTGTGCGATGATCACCTACTGTCAAGCTCTCTGGGCTTCTGGTGCAAGGACAGAGATAGGAAGAGTCATCTAAGGTTGAGCCTTCTATTCACCACCCTCCACAACCCACACCCCTCTCTCTGACAGTTCAGGAACTCACCATAAGGTCTGAGTTTTTGATCCTCCAAAAACTCCCTCCCTCCTTTCTCCCTGGCCCTAGTAGGAGCTGGGAGGGTGGAGGCAGAACATCTTTAGTTGTGGGAAGCAGAAAATTCAGGGGGAGGGAAATGGGTTGTTGGCACTGTAAACTGCCTGAGGGCAGGAACCTTACAGAATTACCCCAGCTCTTATCATATTGCTGGTAAGTGGTGGGCCCCTGAGATGAATGAAGTTCATTTAATTTTGTGACTATGCATTCATTACGCACTCCTTATGACTGTAAAGAAGCAGTTATTAGTCCATGTTATAGAAAAGGAAACAGACAAAAATTACCAAGACAGGAAGTGGCAAGCCCAAGAGAGGTGTTTGAGTCTAGGGCAGACTGTCTCAAAAGCTTATGCCCCTTCTGTGGCTGCCCAGGGCTCAGCAGCAGGGCAACCTGAACAGCTTTTGTGGTCTTTAGGGTCCCCACATGTCTGAGGCACCAGGAAGCAGGAAATGATGGTAAAGGGACCCACATCATCTTAGTTAGATATTGTGTGAAGAGACACCATGACCACAGCAATTCTTACAAAGGAAAATTTAATTGGGGTGGCTTACAGTTCAGAAGTTTAGTCCATTATTGTCTTGCAGAGAAGCATGGCAGCATGCAGGCAGACAGAGTGCTGGAGAGGTAGCTGAGAGTTCTACATCTAGATCCACAGGCAGCAGGAAGGGAGAACACTGGACCTGGATTGAGTTTCTGAAACCCCTGAGCCCACCCCCAGTGACACACTTCCTCCAACAAGGCCACACCTACCCCAACAGGGCCACACTTCCCATAGTGCCATTCCCTATGTGCCCCTGGGAGTCATTTTATTCAAACCACCAACCTGCCCTGCCTTCTCCTGACCCTCCAGATGCTAGAGAAGTGTGCCACAGGGTACCCCATTCTAGGTGTTCGATTCATTTAGGGACTCCTTGTTATTGACACATTCCTTTAGCTCTGAGCATTAGGCTACACTGCCCTCAGACAGACACTCAACTTGCAGCACTCCACCCCGAGGAGGGCTTCAGGGACAAAGTCACCTTCCTCATAGCCTCTCTCAATTAGCTCTTTGAAACTCAGCTCTACCTCCTCTGCTCCCTTTCCTTCTGAAATGGCATCAGGAGACCTCGCATTCAGTCCCAGCAAGAAACAGAGTCTGGGGAAGAGAGCTAGGCTCCTGCTCGCCTGCCTTGTATCAACTAGATAACCCTCGGCAATTCTTTTCACCTCTCCCAGGCTCAGGTTCCTCAGTTGGAAAATGGGGATTAAAAAAAAAAAGATTCTAAATTCCCAAGACTGTCACGATAATCATTAAGGCAAAAAGCCGTGGAAAGGCTTTCCAAGTGAGAGCGCTCTTATTCTTCACACCTGGTGGCAGGTCTCCAGCTCCCTTCGCTCAGGTCCCATCCTCTCACGTGACATGAACCCCGTCGTTGATTCCAGGTCTGAACCCCAAGGACTACAGGTGCCTCCCTGTTTCACCTCACCAAAACAACATTCAAAACTCAGAGCAAGCCTTGTGACTGAACCAACCAGGGCAGGCAGGGTAGAGCGGTGGCCAAGAGCTCTACGGGAGGGAGTGGGAAATCATTTCTGAACTCCAGACCGACTGCTGTTACCGGTGCTACCTTGAACAATCATCTTGCTTCTCTGTGCTTCAGCTTTCTTTCCATAAGATGGGGCAATAACAGTGCCCATCTTCTGAGGCAGGGAGTGTGCGTGAGCCCCCACACACAGACACACACACACAGACACACACACAGACACACACACACACACACACACACACACACACACACACACACACTGCAGTAAGTAGCCGCCCTGGCTTTTGTCTTGATATCTTCGGTGACTTTTCTCCTCAACTGCTCAACAGCACGCAAAACATCTTCGTCCTCTTCTTCTGCCGTAGCCACACCAAAGGCCTTTGCTCTCTGCCTCTAAACCATCTAGTCCAGTCTGGACTGGCCCCGAGGCTACCTCGGATTCTCACCTTAACATACTACTGGAGGGTTCAGGATGCGGCACAGACAAAGCTACTTCTGGTCTCCTGAAGACTGTTTTGTGGCTATGTTAAGGACTGGACCCAGGGCCTCATGCATACTAGACAGGCACTCTACCATTGAGCAGTTCCCCCAGGACTCTACTCTGAATTATCTCACCTAATAGGGATTTGAGTTCCCCAGGGGCAACACCCGCATCAAAGCCCTTCCCCAGGGGCTCAGGGCTGATGCCAAGACTCCTTCAGTCCCTGTTCAATCCCAGCCCAAGTCTTTGAAACCGAAATCTTTTCCCATCGTTCCTGCTCTTAGTTTGCTTATCATTTCCATGTTCACCTACGTCATTTATCCATGGCCCGTGCATTCCTGCACGTTCCAGACTTAGACCATACCCAGAAACTACCTCTCCCCCACAAGCATCTAACTCAGGTCATCTCTGCCTGTCAGTCCCTGAAGGCAATCTTCCTCCATGAAGCTCTCCTGGACTATCTGCCTGATGGATGGAAGGATGCTTTGAAAATCCTTCCAAAGGGCACTGTTCATCTTTGAAAACTATACGCATGAGGTATTTTATCTCTTTCTAAAAACTGCGCTTTTCTGTGTGTTGCTATAATAGATACGGCTGACATTTTAAAGTCCATTTTCAAAACACATACCGTCTGATCTGTGGTTCCTGAATATAGAAGTCTACATTACTGCCTGACTTGCATTTTAAACCTCTGTAGGCATCAGCAGGGGAGAGAAAGCATCCACAGAGCCAGTCTCTGAGTCACGCGTATGCCACTGAGGAGGATGCTGCAGCCACCACACAGGGAAAGGGCAGCTCTACTTGTGTTAAATCTTCCTAGGATAGCTCAGACGTGTGATTCTGATCCCCAGCAAGCACCGCAATTCTTTCTGCACTCATCTTGTGTGGACTTGCCGAGGAGTTTCGGACAGTTACATTCATAACTTTGTTTTTTTCCTTCATGATTTATTGGGGAGATTCTGCCATTTTCTATGAACTTTTGTATCCCCTCTCTTGCAGTGGCCCTGTCATTTCATACCTGGTACTGAGTAGATGCTCAATAAATACTTAAGGAAAGGGAGAAAGGAGAGAAGAGAAAGAAGAGATGGGAGGAAGAAGGGAGGAAAGGAGGAAGGAAGGGAGGGAGGGAAGAAAGAGGAAGGATGTGCTATTGCTGATGGCTCAGGGATCAGTTGGAAACAACACTCAATACATGAAGCTTTCTCTATGATCTGTCTGTACGCGTCACCCTGCCACCTCAGGACTGACAGTGGGGGCTGGTCAATAGACTGATTTCCCCCTGATGAGCGTTCTGTGTGGAAACTAACTCTTTGTGGATTTGTTGTTCACCTTGTTTATTAACCCGAACTTGTCATCTGTAAAACTTATTTTTTCCAGTCAAGGTGGCCTCATGCCTCAGTCTATCTTTTTTTTGAAAGAATACTTTTTTGTTTATTCCTTAGTAGTTTCATGCATGTGTACAGTGTATCTTGATCATTGTGTCTGTATTGCTGATGGGATGTGACAGCTGCCACCTCTGTCGGATGATGAAGGTGGCTCTGATCAACAACCTTGAGCAGGATCCAGCCAAACAAGAAATTTATCAACGGAACTGCTCAGAACAACAAGAGACTGCCAGGCAACGGGAGGACCTGGAGCGGCCAGGGTCTCTGTAGGGGTCTCTGTGGGTGCAACCGGAGCTTCTGAGTGATAACTGAGCCACAGACAGCAAGCAAAGGATTATGTGTAGAACAGTCCCGGGCTGGCAGCCTTGAACAGGGACCGACCAGTCAACATGCGGTTCACTGAAGTGTGAGGCCAGTGGAAATGTAGTCTCTGGTACCTCTTCCTTTTTCTAACTAGTGCGCACCTCGGATTCCCATGGCTGTTTTTCCTTGGTTGAATGGGGGACTGTCACATTATAAAGAAGTCATCCAGGCCTCGAAGAGCAGTGGACTGAGTGAGCCAGAGACCTCAGATTCTGTGCCAGACTGCCAGGAGCTGCATGCAGCATGTCATGAGCTGTTTGTTGACCTAAACTTGTCCTCATCCATGGAACTTATTTTTTTTTCAATCAAGGTGTCTCAGTTTGTCTGTTTTGAAATAACATTCTTTTATTTATTCTACGGCTATTTCATAC